CTGATATTCTCAGAAGAGTGAGATTGGAGAAGTGCAAACCAGTTAGTACACCGATCTCTACCTCAGAAAGTCTCATGGTGGAAAGTGGAGAAATTCTTGCACCAGAGGATGCAACAAATTATAGGAGTGTTGTAGGTGCTTTACAGTATTTAAGTCTTACTCGCCCTGATATTTCCTATTCAGTGAACAAGGTATGCCAATACTTACATGCACCTAGAACTACTCATTGGACTGTAGTTAAGAGAATCCTAAGATATCTTAAGTATTCAGAAGGTCTTGGACTTCAAATTACCAAGTCTTCTTCTCTTCTGGTATCCGCATACTCAGATGCAGACTGGGCAGGGTGTGCTGATGATAGAAGATCTATAGATGGTTTTGCTGTATTTCTGGGAACAAATCTTGTGTTATGGAGCACAGGAAAACAGGCCACTGTTTCAAGATCAAGTACAAAGGCCGAATATAAAGCCTTGGCTAATGCGACAACTGAAGTACTGTGGATACAGACGCTACTCTATGAGCTTGGAATTAAAGCTCCTAAGGCTGCAAGACTATGGTGTGACAACATTGGTGCAACCTATCTCTCAGCCAATCATGTTTTTCATGCAAGAACAAAACACAATGAAGTTGATTTTCACTTCGTTAGAGAAAGAGTAGCTCGTAAGTTGCTTGAGATCAAGTTTATTCCTACAGGAGATCGACTTGCAAATGGGTTTACAAGACCTCTTACTATCAGAGGATTGGAGAAGTTTACATACAATCTCAACCTTGGCAAAACTTCATGAGGTTTAGATTGAGGGGGTGTTAGAATTACAACTGTATAGAGATAGGACTCTTTGAAACTTGTATTCCTTCTCTATCTCTTCTTTTCTCCCGTATCTCCTGTAAACAACTTCTCTCGATCTACAACTTGTACGCCAAGACTATTGCCATATATATATTAATGCGGCCTGAGACAAAGGGTTCAATGCTTCCACCTATTTTATAAAGGCCCGCTCGTTTGCACTCGCCTCAGCCTGGCTCGCAAGAAACTGCCGATTTGAGCGTTTCAAGCAAGTCAGGCCTAGAGATGCTTTAAGTTCCGTGCTATGCAGAACCAGTGTATACAGGCAAGCCAGATTCTTCCTACATGGGTCTGTTTGGGCCTCATGCAGGCAACCAAACACATTAGAGAACGAGTGAACTGAGCGACCCGAACCAGCTGCTCCACCGTTTATTGGGTCGTCAACAAGAACGACGAGTAAAGACTCCGGCATCGTCGATCACAATGGGTATGCCCATCTAAGACATTTGTAGCGGCAAAGCTTGACCCTGTTTTAGGACGTACCCAGCCGGTTTTGGGAAGTCTTTGGTTGGATTTTTCTATTCTTGGTTTTCTGGACCTGCTTTTTTCCCTTTTTCATTTTCTTCGTGTTTTTCTCCTACTTCAAAAACTCTAACTTTTTTCTATTTGTCAAGTTTTTCTCAATTTTTGTGAACCTTTCATTAAATCAGCGAACCTTTTCAAATTCGTGAATCTTTTTTTTTTCACGATTGTTTTTTCAAATTGGTGAACTTTTTTCAAATCCATGATATGTTTTCTAATTTATAACCTTTGAAAATTTTCATGTTTTTTCAATATTTATGAATTGTCTCATTTTCACTGTTTTTTTAAATTCATAAACTTTTTTCAAAGTCGTGATTTTTTTTAAAGTCAACAGTGAACTATGCCACCTTTCAGTGGTCAGTGGTCAACTAGGAACCTAGCGAACCCGGAACGAATGAACCGAGTGAACCAGGGAATCGAATGAGGTACTCACCCCGGTTACTGGGCCGCCCCAAGAGCGGGCTGTGCGCGAGCGCTCCATGAATAAGCAAGAGCCGCCGGTTGCAATAGGAAGACACATGTAATGGAGTTGTAGCAGAGAAGCTCAACCTGGTCTTGGGATGCTTCTAGTCAATATGTTTTTCTTTTTGTCCTTTTGGTTTCCTAGACCGGTTTTTTGGTTTTCATTTTTATTTTTTCTTCAAATGTGCGGGCTTTCTCAAATTGCTGAACTTTTTTTTATCATATTTTTAGTTTTTTTTTTCAAATTATTAAACTTTTAAACAATACTTAGGCTATTTTCCAAATTCATGAAAAAAGTTCAAAAAATCCGCGAGCACTTTATAAGCTATGAATGTTTTCAGTTTCATTATGTTTTTAGAATTTAAACAAAATTTTGTAAAATTCTTGAGCCTTTTCATTTTTGTAAACCTGCTTCTCAAATTCCTAAACTTTTCTCAAATTCGCGAACTTTTTCTGAATTTGTGAACATTTTTAAAAGGCAATGTTCTACCGTGCCACTAGTGAATGTTTGACCAGTCAACTAAGAACCGAGCAAACCAGGGAAACCGAGCGAGCTGCTCGCCCAGTTTATTGGGCCGCCCCATGAGCAGGCGGCATGCGAGCACTTCTTCTATAACTTGCACATAAGGTGCTAATTAGCAGCACTCAAGGCCTTCATACTCCTTGACCTAGACTTACCACAAGAATTGCGCCAAGTACTTGTTTTATTGCTCTTCCTAGAGATTTTATGGGTTGGGATTTCGCGGTAGGATCCCACAAACTATCGATAGATCAAGAAGCTTGCCTAGATGCACTCCTCGCCCAAACCACCTAGCACAAAAGTTTGGAGGCTTGTACCAGCTAGGTCTCCTAGGATGGGATGTGGTCCACGGCTTCTTCCGCCACACCCTTCTTTGCACCAATGTCAAGTTCATGCCTAGAAGATAGCGCAATAGAGAATACGGGTAACTTAGGGAATCTCTAGTCGACCCCCTATCCATTAGAGGAGTAAATGGACAAGTATCTTTAGAGGAGTAAAATTTTACTCCGCTAAAGGTGGCTGACCCTTACCGATATCCTACAATTGGAGGAGTAATTTTTATCCTCAACTTTTTAGCCTAGCCATATCAATTTCAAACAATTGTAGATTATGTGATAAATCATTCAAATATTCTAAAATAAACATGCATACATGTAAACCATTAACAAGCATAGGGTTTCATGGATCGAGATAATCAGATTTAAAAATGCATAGTTCATCCAAAAGGCATCACGTCGATCAAGTATGATCCAGAATCACCACAACATAGCATGTTTTATGTCGCAGATCGAGCCCAACCAAAAACATGCACGACCATCCTCGCGAAAGAAATCACCGCTACCATCACCACCCCCATACACACGGTCATCACCATAATTATCACCACCACCATCCACACGGCCACCACCATCACCACCACCACCACCATTCACACGGCCATCGCCACAACAACCATTCCGAAGAGACACCTCCATTTGGTTACGGTATCATCCATTGTGGTTCTGTTCATGAATATGACAGCATGGTCTTTGGCTTTATTTGCCTTCTGAAGCCCAACATATGTAACGTCTCAAAAGATGACAATGATTCGGCCATGTTCATCTCCGCACTACGGCAACAACAACAACAAAGTCAATCATCCATCAGCCATAGGCAATCACTGCAGAATGTATAGCCAGAATGAAAAACGATTTTTTTTACCTTGAAGGCATTTCATCGACCACTTGGCAGGCACGACCCTTTTTGCCGGCAGTGGTGGCCAGTCACGCCAAAGCAGTTGTCTTAGGCCCCAGGCAAGCGCCGGCGTAGTGGCCGTCGGCTTCCTTTCCTACTTGCCGGTAGTGGGAGGGTGGCCTACCATCGCAGGAGACGCAGTGGCCACCCCACCGACCTTGCTACCAGCAGTAGATGTCAGTGTGTGGGCCGGAGAAGATTTTTTGTCCCCAACCTTTTTTTGGGTGCAGGTGGCGGCGCTGTGGTCGTTTGCAGCGGCGACGTGCCAACGGGGTGGCGAAAGGGTTGTGGCAATCCATTCGACCCGAAGCCGCGATCATCGATGGCGATGTCGGTGAGTGGGATGGGGGCGGCGGGAAGGGGTGGCCGCATGGGCGGGAGAAGGCGGCGTGTGAAATTTTTACTCGGCAGCGCGGAGGTTGAGTATATTTAGGAGACTTGGGCCTACTTTTCGGCTGGGGAGTAAATTTTCTTACTCCACTATAAAGTTTTAGGAGTTTGGCTTGGTACCGATTAGAGGAGTAAATTAAAAGTATTTGTCCTCTAAACGATTTTAGAGGATCGGCTATAGTTGCCCTTACTTATCAACTTTAAATCTGCCAACCTTATGTGTATTTTTCATGAAACTTTCTGATGGACCCCATATTGGTTTGAGCCTGAGGCTCCTACTGCACTTATAGGCATGCTAAATAACCTGCCTCCTTTGGTACAGAGGCCTAATCCCCTGTTGCACTGGTCGGACGATGAGCTGAAGATAGATTCAGTTTTAATCTCCTTTGTTTTTTTCCTCTGTAGAGAACATGCATTGTGTAAGAAGAACTGTAATGTTTGCAATTATGTATAAACTTACAAATGTTTCTAAACAAAAGCTGAAGACAGATCCAACTTAATCTCTTTTATTTTCTCTCTTTCTTGAGAACATGCATTTTGTATAAGAGAAGACTGTCTAAACAGCCATGCTAAGTGTCTCTTGTCTTCTCCAGAGAAGATTTTCTTCTTCTTATAGCAGTGCATAAGAAACGAACGTCGATCTTATGAACTACGTGCCATTAGGTGATACGATTTTTATTAAAATGAGTGCCTGGCTCACATACAAGACGTACTAGGAAATAACAAATGTCCTCTTTAGAAAATACAGCCTCTCATAAAGTGTACATATGAAAAAAAACTCATTCTCTGTAGGGACGTCTCTTAAGGGGCAAGACCATAAAGCTAGGCACTTCTAGCTTTCTATTTTTAGATGAACCTTGCGATTCATGTTTCAACCTTGCGATTCATGTGGTCGAACAACTCCCCATTTCCGCCATCAATTTGCATTTCTTCAAGAACCATCGCATTCTCAGTGAAGAATTTGATCAACTTGACACCAAAACAGTTGGACTTCTCCAACCGGAATTGCAGGCCGACTCTCTTGAGTGAGCTTCACAAGCACTTGAACGAGTGTCGACTCAAACCAGGAATTTCAGAAATTTCATCATATGCAACGCCTAATTCTGGTAAAACTGTGGCCGTCTTGGAATCGCCCAAGTGGTCGAGATGAGCCATGGACTTATTGCGGTCGTACCGAAATTTCCTTTCCAAGAATTGGCGAGTGCCCTCATCTCGATTGTGGGCATGTCTTTTGTAGGCATTGTGTTCCTGCATGGTGAGGTTGATCCGGAGGTCATGGAGCACGGGGCAGCAACGGAGCAGGTTGGCGATTGCCACCGCGGCCGTCAGGCCTTTCGGCCTGTGCACTCCTTGCAGCTCGAGGTGCTTGAGGCGGCAGAACGTCTCCGGCAGGAGCTCAACGCGCCTGACCTCACTGCGGATGGCGATGTCCTCAAGATGGTCCAGCCTTAGCTTCATCCTCTTGGTACTGGTGAAGCTCCCAAGGAATTGCCAGAAGGTGGCAAGGTCGTGGTCTGGATCCTTCTCCCACCTGTACCTCTTGCTGTCGTCCGGGAGAAAATGCAGGTCCACTTGGTCCAACTCCGGCGGCTGCGGACTGAATGTGAAGGGCCGGAAAATCCCTGCGTACCTGAAGCGACGCAGCCTCGGTGCATCGATCTCCATCCCATGTACAGGAACGGGCTTCTCATAACTATAGCCGTATGGATGGTGCCCGTGGCTCTTCTTCTGCTCCCACCTATACACCTGTCGAGCACTGTTGTTGCAGAACCAGCTCGAGCACTCGACAAAGATCACTGGAGACACGATCGGCGAGGAGAAAGATGGACAGAGAGTTTTATACTCGTGCGCACGGACATGCCCGAGCTGCTCCACGACCTGCCCACCTCCCACTCACCACGACCCGCACGTCCTGGCCCGCGCGCGCCCATCGCGCTCTGACGCGATCGCCGCGGCCAGACCACGCGCCCTACACATCCCGCGCCCTGATCCTACGCTATCAGACCCGCGCACGCGCTAACTCACGCACGCACACACACCTGCGCTTGGGCGCGCACGCATGCACCCAAGCCCGCTCCGGCTCGAGCCCAACACGGCCATCACGCGCACGCACGCGCTCGCTGTGCCCGAACCCTAGCCG